TAACTCTCAATACTCACCTTTCTTTGGCTAAAATAACTGACAACCCAGCCATAGTTGATAGCTCCTCAGCAGTCAGTGAACCATTCTCCTCTACCTGATGACAATAAATAAATAAATAAATAAATAAATAAATAAATAAATAAATAAATAAATAAATATATAGGAAAATACTTGATAATCTGCATTTATCATTTACAGCTGACAGACAAGGTTTTATTGTCTTGTGTAAGAATGTTAAACATCCGCTTTTTACAATTTTACATCTGCTTGGATATAAGTGGTGATCAAAAAACAAACAAACCAGTTTTGCGGTTTTCTCTATAGACTCCTCTTCACTATGTGATTGCAACTGTAACACTTGTACTCCACTGTCAAATGACTTGAGCCTGTAAAAGCAGATAGGAGTTATAAGTAAATGTGAACATTGTCATGAAAAAACATGTTAAAATCAAACATGTAGAAACACAAATCAAACATGAGATATATGAGAACTAGATTAAATACACCAAGATAATAAATATAAAGAAACCACTACTGTCTTTGTTGCTACCCTTACGTTATTGTTAACATCAAAAGTTAGGGACTTCATTTTTTTTTTTAACTTAGACGTATCTAATCCCACATAAGCATACCTGACAGGTAGTTTTAACACCTCCAGCAGTTTACAAGCACTTATGAGATCTTCTGGGGAAAGGAGCTGAAACAGCAACGGATAACTGCACCAAACTAAGTACACTGGCATAAATGACAGATTATTTGTGAAAAAGTACTGCACCAAACTCTGCCATCAATAACAGATTATTCATCAATAAAACAATCAAACCCCACCACTTGATACCACATTGTTTCGTAAAACAAGAAAATAAACAAAATGAATAAGTATATTAGAAACTTAAGAGGGTTACTTTCCTAGAGAAAAAACAATGAAATAAAAGTAGTGGGTTTAAACTTTATGGAGAATGCTGCAATATTTTGATAGTGGTTGGAGATTTTTAGAATTTGACCAATGATATAAGTCTATACTTATTATAAGAGAGAAAAACATTCAATAATCAATACATACTAGTACATGCATGCACAAGAATACACCCCCTCACCCACCCACACCCACCCACCCACACCCACAGTCATCAAGGCCCCATACCTCCATTCCTCTTGCCCTGTTTACCCTACAGTAGACATCAGTCAGTGTCATGATGCCACCACTCTCCTGAAACAGAAACGTGGAAAACATTTTTAAAAGATATAACAAAATGATTGTCTTTTGTATCTCGTGTGCCAATATAACACTGTGTCAGGTACATTATCAAGAGGTGCGCTAATTACACACAAATTCTGAACACTTGACAATAAGACTGAATATCTAAATAAATGTGATAGTATATTAGAAAGTGACAGTGTGCTAAGTGTGACTCCATGTCTGGTTAAACAGTGTTTTAGGTGTGACAGTGTGTAAGTTGTGACTGTGCACCTGAAATTATGTGATAAATTGCGTGGTATTGTATTAGGTGAGACTGCATATCTGGTGTGAGGGTGTTTAAATTAAAATAGTGGTTTTGTGTGTCTCAGTGTGCTAGGTGTGACAGTGTAGGTATGACAGCAAGTGCTTATGTTTAACCCACCCTCAGTGGCTGCTCCAACATGGAGCCTATCTGTTTTGCCAGTTCCCTGTAGTAACTTTGCCCAGATCCATGGGTCTCTCTAGTGACAGGATCATCTACTCCCAAACTTAGCAAGTAAGACTGGAGGCGGATTGTCTGGAAAAAAAACAGCAACACCAGTCTTACAAACAGTTAGGTGCAACACAAATGCTTGCATTGTCTACATTTATAAACCACATGAGCCTGTGCAAAAATAATCACCAATACAGAAGAAAATTGTCTTTCACCCTTAAACATACATACACAATTCTGAGAATACATATGGAAACTGTTTTACATTTACCATGAAGAAAATGTGGACAATATGAAATATGTATACCAGTGAAATGTTACTTGTCTTCAACTTTATTACCAATCTTGCATACATTGGTACATTGATGTGATTTTTATCAAAGGAATCAAAAGCACCCATTTTTTTGCCTTTCATCAACCACACTGATTATTTCTTTACCTCATCCTCTGTTATGTCTCCCTGTTTTTCTTTGATTTTGCTTGAAATCCCCTTGGCAAGTGTCACCATATCTTTTGCCTAGAGAACATTAATTTATCCACTCTACTGTATCTTATCAATTTTTTGTAAATAATGTCTCTAAAGGACTGACCTTACCCCAAAGACAGATTATTTAACAAACGTTAGGCTTCATTTTTGCTAACTTAATATGTTATAATTAGTGAATTTCCACTGAAAATAATTATTCAATATTCTATTTAATCCCATAAAATAATAAAAATATTCCATGCAAAAAAAAAGCTTTTAACAAATGAAACTGAACATTACTAAACAAAATTTTGTCTACAAAATTCACTTTACCTTTGCAATTAGTTTATTCAAATCTTCAAATGCTACAGATATATTCTGATCAGTTTCCTTGTGCTTTTGTTGGATATTTCTCTCTATCCCCACAATCCCTGCTGCTCTTACATGCCTTTTCTACAAAATCAAACAACATAGGCAAATTATCAAAACTTTCATTTAAAAGCATGCAACTGACCAATGTAAGACTACTGATCCAACATGACAACTAGTGTTTAAAATAATACTGATCTTCAAACCATATCTTATATACTTAAATGATAAGAAAAAGATATATCCCACTTAGCAACTACAGTTTGTCAATTGCAATATATCCATACCCATGCGCAGCATATAGATATTACATTGTGCCTACTTTTGTGTAAATTCTTGAAAGCATGACAGTCATATATTGAACCTACTAACTCTGCTGCTCAAAAATTAAGTAACATCTTCAACTTTTCAAAAACCTTCCAATATCACAGTCTTTATTCGAAATGTCAGGTGAGCTGTGCAGTTTTCTATTTGTCATGTGCTACAACTACATGTGTTTGAACTGTTGCCTAGCAATGAAAGCCACATGCTGTTGTAACCTATGCGTGAACATTTGCCCAGCATGGAGGTCACATGATGTACCTACCTGTGTGTGAACTCTTGACTAGCATGGAGGTCATGTGCTGTACCTACCTGTGTGTGAACTCTTGTCCAGCATGGAGGTCACATACTGTAGCTACCTATCTGTGTGTGAACTCTTGCCTAGCATGGAGGTCATGTGCTGTACCTACTTGTGTGTGAACTTTTGCCCTAGCATGGAGGTCACATGCTGTACCTACTTGTGTGCAAACTCTTGTCTAGATTGGAGGTCACATGCTGTACCTACCTGTGTGTGAACTCTGGCTTAGCATGGAGGCCACATGCTGTATTAATACATACCTGTGAAGCTGGTTGATGTGACGTCAGGGGAATATGTTCCCACCTCCTGTGGGCCAACTCATCTGCTAAGCACCTGTAAAACTAAGATTTTAATGTTGTTTTATAGCTCTGCACCATCACTTACATAACAAACAAAAGACAAAATGAAATTATACCTATATATCCAGTATTGTACATGACAACATTTTTAGAATGCTTATATCAACCATTCCATTCCACAGTGTTTAGCTGAATCAAACTAAAATAGTCCCAAGTTTTTGTTGACTGAAATCTAAATTTTCCCATTATATAAACTATTTTGAAAGTCAAACACTGGTGTCAAATACAGTAAACTCTCCCACCAACTATCATAAGACACTACCTCTGTCATCCCTCCCTGTGTGAAGGAAAACCTGATGTAATGGTTCCTGCTGGTGGTGGCTGGTCCAGGCTGTTTGCCTGGCATTGGGGCACTGAGGTGAGCCAGGATTTTAGGGCTGGATGAAGAATAGAAACTATACTTAATACTGTGCTGCTATGTATGGTGTACACTGATTTTTTTTTCTTCAACTTCTTCAATTCCTTTTAAGCTTGGCTGGTATTTAGGGCCCCATTCAGAATAGGGGACTAACTAGTCCGAGGGTCAGTTATGGCAACCCACTACAAAGCTTGCCATCTAATCTGCTAATAGATACTGAATAGATATCCCAAGGGGAAATATTCAAGTGGGTCGGCCATATTTGACCCTCGGACTAGTTAGTCCCCTATTCTGAATGGGGCCTAGGGCATCAACAAAATTTTTTCCACTGCTCTTTGGAACCAGCTAGGTGTTAAATGGTTCCCCAGTTGATTCAGCTCTGCCTCTACATTCCTTCTCCACGATGTGGCCTTAGGTCTTTTTTTTTCTGTGTCCCTCTGGTGTCCAGTGCATGGCAGCTTTTCGAGTCATCCGTTTCCACTGTATCCAGTTCAAAACTGCTTCTATTTATATGAACTGATGATAGCTAGCTAACATTAGAATAATATCTAGATAACAATAGAATAATTATATACATATATTCAATTTTTTCTTGTAGTAGTTTACAAGAGGACCTCTTCTTCATTTTACTTTTTTTTTCATCTAGCCAAACATACATCATGCAGAAAAAGGTCTGTACATTTATCATTATTAATCAAACAATTTAATAATTTATTGACTGGGAAAAGAAATCGCCTTATCAACAACAGGAATCGGTTCCTTTCTTTGCCACTTACAATTTACCTTTTACTAAAACCTCCTGCTTGTTCCTCTACAAACACAATTAAGGATAAGGGCAAGGACAGGACACATGTCTAAAAATAAATTAAAGAAATAAAACTAGAGAAACAGTTAATCATTTAATTCAGGAGATAAATATCCAATGAATACACTATATATCTGTACTGGTATCTTGTGATGAACATGCATAAATATTAGAAATTTAATATAAGCTGTTTAGTTTTACATATATATCCTGAAGCACTGTCTTCGAGGCAATGACTGGATTGAATTAAATGGCGCATAATTAAACTGCATAGTGCAAATAGGAATTTATATGCATGCATGTGTGTCTATCCATTCTCACCCAGTTCATCTCTCTCTCTCTCTGTAAGGGGGGTATTAGCACTAAATATTCATGCATTAGCACTCCTATTGACGATTCTGATATGTACTGTTTGTGCTAACAGACACAGCACAGACAGTACATATCAGAATCGTCAATAGGAGTGCTAACGCATGAATTTTCGTGCTAGGGGGTATACTAGTATGTGCGTGCGTGCATGCATGAGTATGTGCATGTGTGTGTGTGTGTGTGTGTGTGTGTGTGTGTGTGTGTGTGTATGGATAGGGGATGTAGCACACACATAACTACCTGGTCCTTTGCATCTTTCCATATCAAACGGTGAGAGGTAAGCAATAATGAGCCATTATCAAATGGTGTCTGAAAAAAAAAACAAGTGTTTTGAAAAGAATTCACAAAATTTATTTGTTGTATTGCTGTATCCGAGTTTTCTTTAACATTTCTTGTCGTTAATACGATTAAATTTTGTTCAGACTCTATAGCCTCTGTAAATATGAAGAACATCTTCCAGATCTTTGTGCTGTAGTACAGATAATCACAGACCCTCACAATGTCAGTACAGTACATGTATCAGAATTCTTTCACTCTCCAGTTGAAATGGATTACTTGGCTGTAAACAAGTGAATCCGTGCTTGACATAAGGATATACAAGGCCATG